CACAAAGACAAAGACAGATCCACCTAAAAATAAATATAAAATTCTGAATACATCGGTAGCTAAGACTTGGCGTAGTGCCATTTCTGAAATAAGAACAGGAAACATAGCTTAATACTGATACTGCATAACTGCTGGCAGGTGCACTGAAGTGCTAACAAATAAACAATACAAAACATTTTTCATATATATGAAATTACTGCTAACCAGTAACTCAAGTGAAGAGCAAATTAAGAGCATAATCTTAAACCCCAAGATGATTCTCATATTTCAGTGAGATCAGGGACACCAAATCATGAATCTAGTTTAAAATGTGTAATGTTTTACTGATATACACAATGCAACTGTTTCATGACTGATTATGTGCTGGGACTGTCATGATATTGTAGGATTTGCCTAACGCCGTATTCTAAAGGGGTTAAATGACCATCTGGCAACCCTAGTTGATAGCATTGATGTGTTTTACATAAATTGTTCTCAGAACAGTCCCCGTGGTCCATTAGTGGTCCAGGAGGCTGATTGAGTTGACTTGAGTTGCGAGATATGATATCATATACCCTGCAATCTCAATCAATATTATCTGAGCAGCATATGGGGTCATTTACTGAGATATATGCATGTCTAATATGTCTGAATTCTAATTCTCAAGACTCCATTTCCACCAATGTTAACTGGCGTACTTTATGAATGTCTTCAATATCAACAATTTTATTATATAAAGCCAACACTAACAATCTGATGAAAGTCTTTAATGCTGTCTCACCTTACCACGCAGCCCCTTTGAAACACCTAACGGGATATCATAAATACCCATCACTGTCTGACAGCCTTTTCGGCTCCAGATTCTGTAGTCTGGAGAGGACTGAGTTTGTGGGCCACCAGTCTAAGTACAAACACACACAGTGCATCGGCAAAATAATGTACTGTGAGACTGCAATTAACAAACCATGTAAGCAAGTTGCCCAATAATTTCTTTGTCACCCTTGCCAGTTCTCCCATGACTGTGGTCACTTTGGATGGGTCACACATATGTAGAGGGGTGAGATACCTAATCCAAGGAAACAAACAAGGTTTTACACTAAACTCCACATTTTCACAAATTAAACCCAAATGACAAAACTGGGGCAAGCCAAGTGAGCATGGGCGATCCCAAGCAGCTAAATCCCATATACAATCACAAGCAGCCACACACTTACACACAATCACATTTAGCCAAGCACCACATGGAATTACACAAAGTCAAACCCCGCAGAATAACACACAGCTACCACACACATCCCACTCGGGTGTATTGCTTAGATGGAGAAAGGAGGGGCAAGAAGTGGCTTTGATTCTGTTCTGCCTCTGAGGAGAAGCACTGGGTTGAGAAAAAAAATCAACAGAATTAACTACTTTATTGGAGGTTGAGTGACTGCAGAGAGGAAACTGTCCTGGTACTGGTAAGTGTTATGGTGATTTTATTCATTTTATTTTAAATCGATGGGGGTCCACAATCTATTATAAAGAATAACATGTAATGAAAAAATATATTTATTTAATTAGCATGTGGAAATTAATGCCACTTGACTTTTGATCACTTAATTATTATTATTTTTTTGTGATCTATGCGGATCTCCTCATTGACATTATTTCCTATAATAATCTACATCTATCTGTTTGCCTGTAATTTTGGAAAAGCAAAATATGTAATTCACCAAGTTAAATTAAAATCTATCATTTTATAGCCTTCTGAGTATTAACAACCTATTAGAAAACAAGGGCCAAAACATGTTTTCTGACAAGACAATATTAATATCATAACAAAACTAAGAAAACAAAATATCTTAAATATCATTTATCATAAGAAAAGTTAGGATTTAAATTATACAAGTTCAGAACTTAGCTACCATAAGCATAACAGACAGGTCAGGTCTAGATGATGGCATGGTATGGTATGTGACCCACCGTTATCAACATGTCAGTTAGCAAATATAGCAGATTCTGTTACAGGATGGTAATTGACTTATCAACATAAATTTAGCAGTTGACAAAATAGCCTTTGTCACATGATGGTTAGTTGTATCTGCTGTAAAGATGGCAGTTGGTGAAAGCAACATTCTCTGTCACATTCTAATTAGTATCCCACTGTTCTTGATATAGCTGTTGGCAAACAAACTACCTCTGTCACATGATAGTACATAACTAGCTGCCTCTGTCACATGATAGTACATAACCAGCTGCCTCTGTCACATGATAGTACATAACTAGCTGCCTCTGTCACATGACAGTACATAACCAGCTGCCTCTGTCACATGATAGTACATAACTAGCTGCCTCTGTCACATGACAGTACATAACCAGCTGCCTCTGTCACATGATAACATACTGTTGTCATTACCTGCCATTTGGGGATATTTGATCTCCTTCTGCTAATATGATGGTTGGATAGCAAAATAGTATCTGACTCATTAAGAAAACATAAATCTAACGTCCCCCAGATAGCCTCATGAAAATAATTTAAAGCAATGTATAAACACTATTATTTGTTTAAAAGATTGTATCACAACAGGTCCAGGACCAATGTACATTTCCATTACTGTAGGTTCTACATAATTTATTGCACCTTTTTTGCACATGGAATTGTGCATATTATGTTTGATATACAGTTATTGCCATGCGTTCTCTAATCCTCTGTGATACACTTTGTTAAATTCACTCAGGAACTTGCACGCATGTAACCTGCAGCTGCGTAGTCACTATGCACAATTACAATTACATCAATAGCGATAAGGGTATAGCTATGTGGTTGGAAAGCCCTGTTATTAGAGGAAATGCAGAGTGGTTGCTTGCTCTGTGCTGGTGACCTAAAAAGCAAACCTGACAGAGCCATCATCGTTTTCTACATTGTGAAGAGGGGCACTGCTCTCTGTAGAAGGTACGTAACTTTTCAAAAACTATATTTAACATTAAATAAGTCATGGTTTACAGAAATTATGATTTTTTTTTTTATTGTATGCATTTAAAATAAAATGTTCGATTTCATAGGTGTAACACAACAAAATTGAAACGTTCAATGCTCCCTTGGGCATGTATTGTTCATGTCACGGATATTTAAAAAAATATATACATAAAAATAAGACAACTTTTTTACAATGTACTACTATAAGGCTGTTACAGGTCAAATAATGCCATGATGCTTTCTGTCAGAGTAAGTGCTAATGTTACTATAGGCATAGAGGCAGACATAATTGAATGTAAAAATTAGATATTCAGAGTTTAAAATTTGATTAAGAATATATCTTTACAACTGTGCACAATGATTTTCTCACCAATATAATATAAATAAATTTGCTGCTATCAAACCGAAAAGTATTAGGTGTCTATAGAAACAGACATTGTCATGGTAGACATGAAAAGAATTATCCTGTTTCATCATTGTAAACCTTATTTGCTTCTTTATTTTCTACTTTTTCTGTTAGCCGTATGTTTACTCATTGTATCTAATGTAATTAGTAACAAAACTATAAAAAAGCAGAATAATTGTCCTGGATTTAAATCAAGCAGATTGTAATTTAAATTAAAGGAACAGTCCACTGTCCAAATGGGTCGAAAAGTAGAAATCACCGTTTAGTTGATATATATCACCAATGCACACATGCGTGATTTTTTTCTCTGGCTGTTTGAATGACATCCAGGGGGATGCTCCATAATTTATTTATAAAAGTACAGATTTATCATAAAAAATTATCACTTGTATAAACTGGAGTTAAAATAGGATGCTCTTCACCCATAAAGCACTTCAGCATGTTGAAATTATTTTAGAATGCAGAGTGGACTTGTAAGAGAACAACTCACTGGGGATCATCATAAATGCAGACCCTGAAGAGTTCTATAATAAGTGAACTAAAAGGTTATCACTTTGCTCAGTTTTGAAGAACCCGCCCAGCTTGTGTCTAGCAACGTTATACTTAGATGGCTTCTTGAGCCAAGTACCAATTAAGATCATAGATAATCAACCCACTGTCATAACAAATATTACACAAAAATGCATTTCATGTTTCAATATTAAATATTAGAAAAGTCTTAAAGAAAAGTTTCCATGTTAAGTATTTAATAATGGCGACTTATGTAAAGTCACACATGCTCGCTCTATGACATTATAGTAGGACTACAAAATAGCTGACTACAACAAAATGCTAGTCTGCTATTTGTTAATTACTGATTTTCAAACTGTTTAACCCCAAAGTTGTCTGCATGGTGTCCACCTGCTCAGTCTTTTGCCTCCTCCTCCAGGCTCAGCTCTAGTGAAAGAGCTTTTATCTTGGCACCGGTGATAGGTTGAGAAAATCAACTTACACTCTCTGTCTATCAATAGTGGCCCATTGCTAGAAATGCTTTAGAAAGGTACATACCTTACTCCATAAGGCAATATCGTGCACAGGACCTCCTGACCATATAACTATGCTGAATTTGTTGTGGGACCAGAGTGTTCATTTCAACTAATACAAAATGAATCAGATGCTGATAAAGTTTTAGGCAGCTTTACTTCGAACTGCCTCCTTATCTCCCATACTATATGCTTTAAGCATAAAAAATTTAAATAAAATGGAATCCCCAGCACTCTATAAAATAAGAGAACTAAGGTGATGGCATTTAAATTAGTCAAGGTCTATTGCCTGGTTAATGTTGCATCCATGAGACTCCCCATTTTGATATCTCAAAGATAGGGAAGGAGCAAAGAGGAACTTCTGCCATCATACTGAGCCCCCCTTTTACACAAATCCATCAACTCTTACAATAATGGGGTAATGGGAACTAATGTTGTACTGTTTCAAACACTCTCTGATAAATGAGGGAAAGGCAGGACCTGGGATTTTGGCTAATGTTATTCTGTAACTATTTGTCACGTATTCATCCGCACATAAAAATGTGTAAATTAAATTAACGACAGTAACGTTGCTTGGCACAACTTTTCCTACCAGGACAGTAACGTTGCTTGGCACAACTTTTCCTGCCAGGACAGTAATGTTGCTCGGCACAACTTTTCCTGCTAGGACAGTATTTAGGAATTTACTGTCCTGGCAGGAAAAGTTGTGCCAAGCAACGTTACTGTCCTGGCAGTAAACGTTGTGCCGAGCAACATTACTGTCCTAACAGGAAAGGTTGTGCCGAGCAGCAATCAAAACCACAGGAGGGTTTATGCTGAGCAGCAATCATGGAAAGGAAACTTGGTAATTGCCTTTGGTGTCAAAGGCCGGTTACAGCCAATTGGATCCACAGGTGGGGTATTTAGGCCCTGTTCTCCTCTTGCTCAGTGCCCTGTCATGGTTTCATGCGTATGGTTATCCAAGAGTGCATTCCTGATCTTGATTTTCCGGTATTTGACTTTGGCTTTGTTTTGACTTCCCTGATATCTAGTATCCTTGACTTTTGGCTTTCCGTCATCTTTGTGTCTGATTCTGTGTCCCTGACCTCGGCTAGTATTTTGACTATTCTTGGAGACGTTAAGTCCGGCCATTCTAAGGTCCGGTTATACGTTATCCTTAGTCCTAGGTGTGACACAGTACTGCGTGCTGGATCAACTTGTAATTCTCACACTATTTACCTAAAAAAAACTTGTATCAGCTTAATGTTGCCTTCATTGCAAAAAGGAGCACTTAACCAATTAGAGTACTACACACATACTCAAAAAGTGCCCAGGTACTTAGCACTCTGACTTGTAGGCACGTAAATTATCAACACAGTCTTGTAGAGAAAGGAGGAGAGGGGGGGAAAAAGATGATTCTGTAGAGCCAGGCACCTATTTGAACCCATCAAGCTAGTAGACCCAGAGTTTTCAAAAAAGCAACCTGGTAAATTTCATATACTATATTATTAGTGCTGTGCAGTTAGAATTGCTGCATTTTGTATTCTCATATTAATCATATTTTAACCACATCCTGGTATTGTTGCTTAGCAATAATACTAATTGTTTTTTCTTGGCCTGGTACGTTCTGCATGCTTTTTGCACAGTGAAATCACAATCCCTCAATAGATGCCTATTATAAATTCCTATTTTATGGCTTTTCAGTAATGGATTTTATTGACTGACATACAAGTGAAGTCTTCATTTTTAACTAAATGTCTTTAGTTGGGTAGGTGTCCTTCCCACAAAGGGTAAACAATAAATTAATTAATTCGACTGCCATTAGATCTCTGTGTTTCAGGTGCATAGTTTAATAAGACAAAGACACAAATTATTCATAATGAAAACTGATGTTACTAATCTCTGATCAAAGAACCGTCTATTGCAATTAAAGGGAAACTGTCACTTCTCTGAAATTAACATCATTGAATAAAACATTGCAAATTACCTATAACCTAAGATGTGCCATTTTTATTTACATTTATAGTAAATAGTTGTCAAATGTCATCATAATCCGGTTCAGACGAGGTAAATCCAGGGGAAATAGTGCAAATAAAGAGATAAAATGGAAATATTATTTAATTTTTCCTCTGCTGTGTATGCTTTCTCTATGGTGATTGCCCGATGCAAAAGGACAAGATTATAACAATGATTGACAGGGAGCAAATGCTGGATAAAGAGGTCAGGATTTCTACTTTTAAAGGAACACTCCCAGGTCAGCTCATTTTTTCCAACAGTTTAATCTGAAGTTAGTCCTTCAGAGCCTAACACTGCTGCCTCCTTACTTACTTCCTCACATTTGCTGCAAAATGACAATGGTTTGTCGGATGCCCACTGAGTGGAAAATCTGAGCCTATCACTGGCCACTCATTGAGAGTAATAGTACGGGGGTTTTCAAAAAGATAAGTAAAGATAATCTTGAAAATTTGGGGAAGTGAATGTTCCCCTTTAAGGAAGTTCAGATATGCCAGTGGGTGATAGCAGATATATATTCACATCCACGTAGTAAAAAAAAACCTTATATACTACATTTAAAAAAACAAAACAAAAAAAAAAGCACCTGCCATAACTCAGATTTATAAACATTTAAGTTTAAAAAGAGGGGGGGAAAGAGACAGGAGACTATAATTAAAACACTATAAACAAAATATATGTAGGCTCAGCCAGTGTATACTGTGCACTACTTGTGAAATACGGAGTCACATGAAGGGACTAGTAAGGAAGTAAGAGGAGCAGATCTGTGATTTAAATGGGGGTCTCACACCAATAATTCACAAATTGTTAAAGAAAAAAAGAAGAAATATTGTTGCATTTAACTAGTTTGTTTTCCCTGATCATTAATATACATTTGTATCAAACTTAGAACTAGTTCATAATGTGCTATAAACAAGAATCTCTAAGGAATGATATAAAGCAGCGGTTCCCAAACTGTGTGCCGCGGAAAGTTTCCCGGTGCTATGATTATAGCACTGGGGAAACATTACTGCTGAACAGGGGCCCGATCGGGAGTCGTAGTCCTTTAAGAGCGCGACTGGGCCCCTGTAATGTTGGCCAGCTGTGAGGAAGTGACAGCATCCTGCAGGGAGACAGAGCGGGAGGAGCATGAAGAACCAGACCCCTCACTCCCACCAGCAGCAGGACTCCAAGCCACCCTCCTGGCACATAAGGTAAACTAACAGGAGGGTTGCTGGAGATATTTTAAAAAAATCACGTGTGTGTGTGTTTGAGTTTGAGTGTGTGTGTATGAGTATGCGTGTGTGTGAATGTATGAGTTCCTAAATTTAAGTTAATCCACATTAAGTCAAGACATTTATTAGCCGGTTAGCCTTAAAGATTATTAAATGATTTCATTTACTCTATATCATCCTTAAGACTACAATTCTTGTTTGTAGCAGATTAAAAGCTTGTTAAAGTTTGATGCAAATGCTTCTAAATGGTTAGGAATGAAATTTAGAAAGCCAAACTATTTGTTTCCAACGTGTGAATTAGTGCTGTTAACTGTAAATTAACTTATTTGTGAGTTTATGTGACAGCCAATCCAGGTTCATACAAACATAAAAAAACACCTGACACCCCACTGTTCTAACTGAAAGGAAGAGGTTTTGGGCACTGATCTTGGTTATGGGGATTTTGGGAAAAGTGGCAGAAATTGTGAAATTTTGGTATTGATTTTAATAATATGTCTGATCATGCAAAATGATGTATTTTATTGAATGATAATGATCATACAAAGAAAATTTATTATCACATAGTTGTTTGGTTCCTTTTTAAATTATAATGATAACAGAAATCACCCAAATGGCCCTGATCAAACGTTCACATACCCTTGAGTATTTGACCTTGTTACAGACACACAAGGTGACACACACACAGGTTAAAATGACAATTAAAGGTTAATTTCCCACACCTGTGGCTTTTTAAATTGCAATTAGTGCCTGTGTATAATTTGGCAATGAGTTTGTTAGCTCACACGTGGATGCACTGAGCAGGCTTGATACTTAGCCATGGGGAGCAGAAAAGAACTGCGTAACAAGGTAACGGAACTTTATAAAGATGTAAAAGAATATAAAAAGATATCCAAAGTCTTGAAAATGCCAATCAATACTGTTCAATCACTTACTAAGAAGGGGAAAATTCAGGGATTGATACAAAGCCAAGGTCTGGTAGACCGAGAAAGATTTCAGCCACAACTGCCAGATGGAAAAAAATCCACAGATAACAACAACACCTGGACATGCTTCACAGCTTCTGGTACATTTTAATTTGGAGTGATGAGACCAGACTAGAGCTTCATTGTCAGTACCATAAGCGCAATGTTTGGAGAGGGGTCAACAAGGCCTATAGCGAAAAGAATACCATCCCCACTGTGAAGCATGGTGGTGGCTCACTGATGTTTTGGGGGTGTATGAGCTCTAGAGGCATGGGGAATCTTGTGAAAATTGATGGCAAAATGAATGCAGCATGTTATCAAAAAATACCTCATAGACAACTATTACAAAAGACTGCACACTGTCATTGATGGTAAAGGGAGCAATACACGGTATTAGGAACTGAAGATATGCAGACTTTTGAACAGGGGTAATTTCATTTTCTTCTTTGTTGCCATGTTTTGTTTTATGATTGTGCCCTTTTGTTACAACCTACAGTTGAATATGAATCCCATAAGAAATGTGTTTTGTCTGCTCACTCATGTTTTCTTTAAAAATGGTACATATATTATAAATTCTCCAAGGGTATGCAAACGTTTGAACACAACTGCATATACACAAGACTTTGCTAAATGAAAATATCGGGGCTTTATTGCAATACCACATGTTAAGATTATGACATTTTTTTTGTGAAAATGGAACTTGTGTGTGTGTGGAAAAAAAAAACAAATGAAAGTATAACCACAAAATGTGGCCAGCATTTGTGATAAAGCAGCTTCACCAAATAATTTAAAATAGTCAATTTACAATACCCTGGGTTGTCTACTTTTGGAAATGGCATGGAACAGTAAAATTTCAATAAATGAAAACAGTAATTTTCAGACCCCATATCTGTCCCTCAGAAATATGGCGTTATGCAGTAAATATAAGGGTCAAAGTGTAGTGTTTGTGAAAAATACACAAAAAAATGTATGAACACTAAACTTAGACAGGTTTAGTGGCTAAGTGACTACAAAAAAGTCTGGACATACCCTATTTGGAATGAGTTGTCAACTTTCAATAGTGTGTAATCATGGAATCCTTTTCTTGCCTGAGTTGTCATATCACATCAAAGTCCTCAAAGGCACAGAAAATCAAGTTGTTTAATTTCCATGAAGACTGTAATTTCCAAATCCCCAGAAAATATCTACATAGGACCCATTGTTGTACTCAAGGGACATTGTAGAATACAGTTTTCGTCTTTTTTTTTTTAATTCTTTTTTTTTGGTGCAAGCAAAGAATAAGACATACATGTGTCACCACGACCGCAAGAACACGTGGTTAAGTAATATATCATAGTGAATACATATCCTGGTTAGAATATAATTTGTACAATTTTTAATTAAAACAGAACTGGGATGTCTTAACAAGAGGTAACATTGGGGGGTGCAGTGGTCAATGCACCTATTTCTGTTCTGAAAGGCCATTTTAGGTGCCCAGGAGGGGGAACCATGATCTATCTGTTGACCACTTCCTCTTTGGAGAGTTTGGGGTTAAGCGTGTCAGAAAACAAGTGGGGGAT